TTGCCACTTAGATTATTTTGACTACATTTGACAATGCATTGATAATGGGCGTTCGGTAGGAACATTACTTCTCGATGTTAACAAGGCCTTCGATAAAGTTTCAAGTATCAGACTCCCAACAAAACTCCAAACCTACGGTATAACTGGAAAACTTCTCAAATGGATAAATTCTTTTCCCACAGAAAGAGAGCAACTAGTCGAAATCAACCATCAACTGTCTTCATCAAAGCCGATAACTAGTGGTGTAATACAAGGTAGCGTTCTTGGCCCTATTCTATTCCTCTTATTCAAAAGTGACGTAGTCTCTGTAGTCGAGTATGGCAAGCCATACCTCTTTGCAGATGATCTCAAGATAGTATATGATTATGAGTACGGTGATATGAGCGTCGAAAGAAAGATCCAGCATGACAACAATCTGGGCGATTGGAGCGAAAAGTGGTGACTGACTTTCAACTCAGACAAGTGTGGTACAGCCCACCATGGACGCTGGAAGCCAAGAATGTGCCTTTATATGTACGCTGCTCAGAATTTTCTTCTCTTCTTGAAATAGCGTTCAATCACGTGGTGGCATAACACTCACCCAGATATACGCTGTTCACTGGTTGACCATAACTATCAGCAGGAAACGGAACGAGGTTCGGGTTATCGCTCAACTTTGATGGTTACCTCAGTAAACGGTTTACAATTTAACAGTTTGCTTGTACACTAGTTGAGCGATTTGAACTTTTGAAAAAGTATTAATTTATGATACCCCAGGATTGTAATTTATAACATTACTGATCGTGCCCGTAAAAATGGCATGCATTTATTGTAAACCTACCCATTAATACGAAATATAAATTATTATTATTAGCTTTAGAACAGGAAAAGAGTGTATTGGATGATATGGTCACCCTTCGACAAATTCTGGAACACAGGCATATTTATTGTTCTGAAGACGGAATTCGACTGAGAATTCATATGATAAAGTCTGGGTGTGAAGGGAGCGTCGATAAAGGTACACCACACCACCAGTCAAGGTACTCTATTCGAATTCACACAACCACTTAAGAGCTTACGAAGATTTGTCACCTGAAGTGATGCTAACCAGTGATGTCCTTCAGGAATTTCATCATAGATGTAATGATGAGTGTGACTCAAGTCAACTTTAGCGACTCGGGATTGACGTGTTACCAAGGAAGACTAAGATGATCAAGAGTATGTGGATAAGCAGTGTTAGTCGGCATTGGATTAGGTTGGAAGTAAGTCAAACCAAAACCAGTTATCATTCCATGAAGGCTTCAGCTGTCAGTTTTAACCATTTAGGCAGGTGTAGGCTGCCTGGTTGATGTTCTTAGCATTCAAACTATTAGTCATATGGATCAAAATTTTTCTCAATGCTTCACAAGCAATCAGTCTCTGTGATCCACCATATTCACTAAACCGGCAATTTTTCCCCAATGTTACTATACTTCCTCCCACATATTTTTGTTATTACAATGTATAGTGTAGTGTTTTTTCTCCTATGTCTGCTATATGGAGTGTGGCGATTTGAACTGATCGACTCCTGTGCAAAGTTTCACTTTCGAACTCAGCCAGAGTAATTAACGATGAGATATTTACACTACGGAAAATACTTAACACAACATTATACAGAATGCAGTAAGCTCAGTAGAAGGTGGCTTTTCGGCGATTCAGTTTCCCCGATTACTGTCCATTAAAACATTTTCGTTGTATTATATGAAGTTAAAAAGTAAACTATGGGAATGCAGAGCCATGGATACAAGAGAAGATTGTACAGTTCAGTCCCCGTATATGAGATTAACCTAGTTTTGTTCTGGTATAAGCTCTTCTCTGTCTCTCTCTCTCTCTCTCTCTCTCTCTCTCTCTCTCTATATATATATATATATATATATATATATATATATATATATATATACTTTGATCACAGGATACTTTTTCCGGGGAAATTATCTTACATACTATCCAACAACGTTTCTAAGTCCTGTCATGGCAAATACTTAGTTCCTTTCATCTCTTTGTCTTTCATTTCCACCAATTTGATATGGTGATCGATATCCAGACTGGAAATAAACAAATCAAAATTTGACCCAAACAAAATAACGCCCACTATTTTATTGATCATGACTACAGACTAGCAGATATATTCTTGGTGATTTTTCGAATTGTACGTTATTGTGTGAAATATACTGTTACTTTTAGTAGTTTCTTTGGTGTGCTGTCACTTAAGTTGTGAAATCGGTTAGCTATTCTTGAGGTGGACTATCAATACCAATGAGTACCGGCGCTTGTTACCAGTTCAGTGTCCTTCTTTCAACTCAAAGTTTTGCAATATATAATACAATAATATTACAATTTCAAAGTATTGTCTACACTTAATTTCACCATTTTCCTGTCAATCAGCATGTCCAATTAAAAATTAATACTTGTTACAACTGTGCTAGGTCGGTAGCTTAGAGGTAGAATGCTCGCCGGCCACACTTGTGGTTCGAGTTCGATCCATGGCCACCGACGCACTCCTAATAAGACAGGTAAATACCACTGCTACGGGAACTTTAAGCCTGTAGCTTAAAGCCCTTTGTTCCACTGGGAATGCAAAGGAATAAAATTAGAAAATACAACTATGCTATAACCGGGGGGGGGGTAGGGGAGGAGGATGAAAAATCATACTTTGAAAAGCTTCAACTGTGTCCATACACTGGAGACACTGTTAATGAACCAATCTCGGCAAGCGAAATATTCTCCAGTCAACACCACTATAAAATAGGCAAAGGGGAAAAACAAATTGAATAATCTCCTCCATTTTAGGAATGCGCAATAGTGTGTGTCTCTGTGTGTTTTCAGAGGAACCTTTTTACCAAGTAACTAGTAATAAGCAGAATGATTGAGGAACAGCTTGTCTGCATAGTGCACTGAATCACTGTGTTGTAAATCAAGGGAAAAGACAACAGTTATAATAATAATTATTAATAATAATAACAATGATTATACTATGATAATATTATATACTTAATACAAGAAGGTGCAAAAAAGGAGACAATAACAATAAGAATAACCAGAGAACCATCCTACAAAGTTTTTTATAAATGGACAAACTGCCAGACAGTACATGTGTGTATGTGTAGGTGTATGCATTCAACCACAACAACATGTGAAAAGAGACTTGGGTACAAAATTTACCGACCACAATGTATATTGTGAAAATAACTAGTAATAATAATATTTATTAGGTATGTAGTAAATGAAAATTAATCAAGTACCAATTAATAGTCAGTTATTACTTTTATCGTAATCATTAGTAGTGTCACTGTCATTACTTTTTTATTCTTGGTCTTTAATAGCGATATATAAGGTAAAAGAAAGTCAACTAAACTATTTTGTGACATACTTTTTTCTTTGGAAAAGAGACGGAATAATAACACCAACGGCAAGCCGAAAAAAGGAAACGAGATACGGAGAGAGAGAGAGAGAGGGAGGTTGAGGATGGGGGAGAGAACCAACTGGATTCAAAGTCACTCACTCACGCATCTAGTTGACTTCGGCAAGCATTTTATTCTCGTCTCTGTAACGGTCACCTGTTGTTAATTATATTCGAGATGTATAAATATTCACGCCTAGTGTGATAAACACCAAATCCACTTACTCCTTATTATTACTTACTTACTAAGATGATGACAGAGACAACAATTTTCCAGAATGGCATTTTCTTAATACTTCACTTGTGTGCCTGCGTGTGTGTGTCCACCTTATAAAAATGAATAAATTATACTTACTAAATTATTCAAGGGTATAGATTATGAAAAGAAGTACACGATAGACGACAGATAGATAAATAGATGGAGAGAGAGAGAGAGAGGAGATGGCACTCACCTAGGGACTACAATGGATTAAGAAGGAAGATCATCATTTTCTCCTTTCATAACTATTACACAACATACAGATGCAGGACATGAAGGTGTGTATCAAACCAACCAACCAGCCAACTAATCACATTTGTGATCAACCAAAATGAAAGAACAAAAAGAGAAAAATGTTAAGAGAAAGAAGAGAAACAATCCCTCCTCCTTCAGTGTCTGTGGAAAATGGAAATATATGTATATTCTTGACAATGCTGGCTATACAAACTGAGTAGTAGTCGTAGTCACAGCAGTGTAGCTACTAAGATGTACAAAATACTAACACAGTATGTATGTCGTCAGTAGTATTATGATAGAGAGACTGGAGAGAAAAAAGAACTAAAGCTATTAGTAATTAATTAATTGTTACACATCACTAGATAGAAATCTCTGTCCGCCTAACAGATGCTTTTACACCTTTTCTTGAATTATCGTAAAAACAAACCAGTGTGTGTGTGGGGGGGGGGGGAAGGACAATGTTGGTCTTAACCCACGAATTATCTACGACACAAACGAACTGGGCGTAATACTTTTTTTCTTTAACACATAAAAACAGACTTACAGAGTCGTTTAATTCGAACCAAGCTGCAATCCTAAAATTATTACTATTATAATATAAGGAAGGGTATGTACGTATTTATGTGAGTGAGCAAAACAATATCCAATAGTCAAACATGCCACACAAACAAACACATGCTGCACAAACATGCACACACACACACAAAGTGAGACAGTACACCATCATATTGGATTGTGAATAGTGTATTGAAAAACGGACGAATGAAAGAACAAACGCACAAACGAACAGACAGACATTAGTTTCAGTATAACGGCGGTGTATATCGTTAGGAAAACGGAAGATGATAAACTCAAATAGTAGAAAGTGGTATTAATAGTCACAATAGTAATAATAATAATAGTAATAAAGTATTACAATTTGTTTTTACAAACAACCCATGTTGAATAATAGAAATACGACACTTTTGTTTACTACTGTCACTATTAGTGAAGCGAAGGTGAGAAAAAAAACTGCCGAAACAATAGAAATATGGAAGTTGTCCAACTAAGTATAACGGGAACAATATATATATATATATATATATATATATATATATATATATATATATAAATTATTTGTATATATGTAAAAATGAGTATATAGGTATTACATATTAAGGTGTCCCAGAAGTATTGGTTTGATTTGCAAAAAAATTAAAATAATCAACCAACATCAACATGAAAAACAAGGATGAGGAGCAATGGAGGTTGTGCGGGGTGGGCGGGTGGGCTGGAGAAAGTCAATTGTAATATACTTCTCGGTGTTGGAGAATGAAACAGTTAAGTTGATGAATCCATTGGTTGACCATTACCTAAGGTATAACCTGTAAGAAAAAAAGGACAATTTGAGTAGTAATTAGCAGAATTAAAAAAAAATATTTGAGTATAGGAAGAAAACGAAAAAAGACACAAATCATCCGCAATCTTATCAAATTTAAACTGCTGTCTAATAAGAATTCTAAACAACCATAAAATATATTTAGAAGTGCTGGCTTTCAGGGATATGATTGCTTGCAAGTTTAACCACGAGTTGACATTATAAACCACGAATTCGCGGAAGTTTGAATTTAAGGGCTGGCGGGTCCCCCAGTGGCTAAATGGTCTATTCCCGACCGAAAGCTGCTACCTTGACGTGGTGGTCGGGCTTGAACACCGCAATGACCTAATCAAGCTATACTGGCTGAGACTTATGTCTCTTGAGGTTCTACCATGCCAGGCAGGTTGTTTGGATAGCGGTTAAACAAAAAGCAGCTACCCAATCCAACATCATGTCCAATACAAAATTACAAAATTTCATGCCGGATCGGCCGTGGCCCGGATTAACAACGACCGCGCTTCCTGCTGCCGTGTCACAGGGCGGGAGTGATAAATCTGCTACTGAGACACACCAAACAAAAAAGAACGAACAAAAACAGGCCGCGTGTGACCGGCCTCAAGCAGTTGTCCCCTGGGCTCTGCGGTCACGCAACCAACTTCCACGGTGTGGGCAGCCGGGAAGTAACAATCGCCCTCACAATCCGAAATGCACACGAAACCTCTCTATTACTCACTCATCTTTGTCTTCATCTTCATCTCTATCATCTTGCCTTCCTTCCACTGATGCAACTCCTCGACTTGATAGCTCTCCACTTCCTCTCCACTCTGCGTCCACTAAAAACGATGGAAGCCAAAAAACCACCACCGACAGCCTCTTAAAGCCGCGCCACCAATTTCATATAGGAGCTCTTAATGTTAGGACACTTTGCCAAATAGGACAACAAGCATCACTAGCCAAGACCCTGGCATCACGAGCCATTGATGTATGCTGTGTTTCAGAAACACGCATACAAGACCCAAGTGTGGTTATTCACCTAACCCCACCTGGCCAACAGGTTGAATCTGCAAAATTCACCTTGAGGGTGTCAGGAGATGCCACAGCTAGTTCACGAGGATTAGCTGGCGTAGGGATAGCTTTGAGTACTAGGGCAGAAAAGACATTGCTTGACTGGATCCCGGTAGATAGCCGAATGTGTGCTGTCCGCCTGAACGGATCAGTAAGAAGGAGGAAGGACTGCACTACTCGCCGATGCCTTTTCGTAATCTCCGCCTACGCCCCCACTGACTGCAGTTCAGATGAAACGAAGGATGAGTTCTACCAAAAGCTGTCTAGTTTGGTGGAAAGGCTAAACGCTCAGACATAGTCGTTCTAGCTGGTGACTTTAACGCTCAAGTAGGGAAATTGTGTCAATCTGAGAAGGATGTCGGTGGCACCTATGGAGTTCCGTGCCAGCGAACCGACAACGGTGACCGTCTCCTACAGTTCTGCTCTGATAATCATTTGTTTCTTGTAAGCACTAACTTCAAACACAAGGAGAGACACTGTTTGACTTGGAGACCCCCTTCATCAAACCAACGCTGGACACAAATAGACCACATAGCAATAAGCTATCGTTGGCGTGGGTCGGTAGGAGATTGTCGCTCCTTCTGGAACACGTGCGTAGATACCGACCATGCACTGGTCCGCGCTCGGGTGTGCTTACGACTGAACGGACGTAGGAAACAGCTGGCGGTAAAACCATCACGTCCCCAGCTCGATCAGGAAACTAAATCCGTATTTGAGGAAGAACTAGCTAAACACATATCTGTGTTCGACAGCTGTGCTCACCCTGAAGAAGCTTGGAAAAATATCCAGGCAGCCATAGATACAGCTGTAAAAGCTGTGAATAAGGTAAACCCAAAGGTGAGTAAAAACCACTGGATCTCCACCGCCTCATCCGAACTGATAGATGCTAGAAGACTTATTCCGGCGAGCTCCGAATTCAATGAGGAGCGAAAGCTGCACAAGAGGAAACTTACGAAAAGTCTCCGCAAGGACCGTGAACAGTGGTGGGCGACAAAAGCCAAAGAGATGGAGAAAGCTTCGAGGATAGGCAACACCAGGCAACTCTTTGGACTCATCAGGGAAACGGGTGGGAGAAGACAAATCATTAGTGAGACAATCTCGGAAAAAAATGGCACTATAATTAGCTCCAGGATAGACGACTGGATCGTTGGAAAGAGCATTATGAGGAGCAGTTTAATTTGCCCACAGCCACGCTCAACCTTCCGAGCATCCAACACCTCCCTGAATGGGATATAGACACAGGTCCTCCGTCACTAACTGAGGTTACTAAAGCTGTCACCAATCTGAAACTAGGCAAAGCAGCGGGACCTGATGGAATGACTCCAGAGGTATTTAAGTACGGTGGAGACAGCTTACTGTCCGGATTAACTGAGGTACTAGGCAGCGTCTGGGAATCAGAAGAAGTCCCATCGGGTTGGTGTAAGTCACTGATTATCCCCATATACAAGAAGGGAGACAAGTCTTCCTGTGATAATCACAGAGGGATTAGCTTGACTAATATAGTATCTAAAGTCTTAGGCTCAATAATCATGCGTAGACTGAGTGGTGCTCGGGAAGCACAAACACGAGAGAGCCAGGCAGGCTTTAGACCAGGAAGAGGGTGTATTGATCATATCTTCACCCTCCGACAGATTCTAGAACATAGGCATTCCTACCGGCGTCCAACAGTCATTATATTTCTTGACCTAAAGGCAGCATTCGACTCTGTCGATCGGGAAGTTCTCTGGAGATGCTTGGCTGTAAAGGGAATTCCAAGAAAATATATTGCACTGATTAAGGCACTCTACTCGTACTCATACAGCCAGGTGAGGGCTTACGGCGAGCTGTCATCTGAACTGATGACGACCAGTGGTGTCCGTCAAGGATGCCCATTATCTCCTTTTCTATTCAACTTCATCATAGATGTGTTAATGGACTTAACCCTAGGTGACTTCAGCGACTCAGGGATTGACTTGCTACCGGGAATAATCTCGTTGACTTGGAATATGCAGACGATATAGTCCTTCTAGGCGAAGACGCTGACGAAATGCAGAGTCTTCTAAACACCTTGAGCCGCAATCTACGAATGTTTGGCATGCGATTCGCTCCCGCCAAATGCAAGATGATGTTACAGGACTGGACTACATCGACGCCTAGTTTAAAAATAGGAAGTGAAGTGGTAGAGCACGTTGACCGCTTCACTTATTTGGGAAGTACCATCAGCCCCAACGGGCTGATCTCTGACGAAATCTCAGCACGAATACAAGGGGCTCGTTTCGCATTTGTTAGTTTACGCCGACTCTGGCGTAGACGAGATGTTCGACTATCGACCAAAGGGCGGGTGTACTGCTCATCAGTCCGCTCCGTCCTCCTTTATGGTTGTGAGACCTGGCCACTGAGAGTGGAAGACATGAAAAGACTAGCTGTCTTTGATCATAGGTGCCTGCGTTCTATTTCCCGTGTAAAGTGGCATAATAAGGTGAGCAACATGGAGGTTAGGCGTAGAGTTCTAGGTAAACAGGGGAAATCAATCGACGAAGTCGTGAAGCTACAAAGACTGAGATGGTTAGGACATGTGTTACGTATGCCAAGCCATCGCCTCCCTCGACGAGCAATGTTAGCGGATATAGGGTCAGGCTGGAAAAAAGCTAGCGGCGGTCAAACAAAAACTTGGCATCAGTCAATGAAATCCACAACAGTTGGTCTAAGCCACGTAGGAAGGTGTAGACTTCCAGGCTGGGGTCCTCGGGACGGTAAAAATCTATGGTTGGAAACAATTGGTGACATGGCTCAAAATCGTTCTCAGTGGCGCAGATGCATCCACTCCCTGTGACTTATGATCTTCAATGAAACTGTTTTGTATTTCTTTATTACTCCTTTGTCTCACACCTCTGCTCACTGTTTCTATTATGCTTTTCTTGTACTTTCTTCTCTTGCTTCGCGTGCTACACGGAATGTGGCGACTTGAACTTCCGCACATTTGTGCAAAGTTCTATGTCGAAAACAGACAGACAGACAAATGGTCTACGACGAGCTTGTCTTGTAACTATAAGGGGTCCTTGGTTCGAACTGCAGTGAGGACGTACTGTTGAGGTGTGTTCCTCCATTTTCCAATGGTTCTCTAACTAATGTCAACTTGTGATCAATCCTGGAAAATTATATTTCTCTACAAACACAATGAATAATTGTGGTATGTGCATATACGTGAGTCGACAAGAAGACTCTAGGAGATTCGAATTTCGCGGACTATTTGCCTCTGACGTCAAACAAACTTGAAGATCTACTGGCGAAAACTAAAATGTTGACAGAAAAGGCAGAGAAGACATGACATCAAGTGAACACAGCTAAGACAGAGGTGATGAAGATAACTAACCAACAAGAACAACAAGCTCCAGTCGGTGTCAACAGGATAAATTTGAAGGAAATCACTTCCTTCACTTATTTGGGCAACAGTGTTTTAATTACACGAATAAGGACGTCAAAACCACTTTCATTAATCTGAAATCAAACTGGAAATCTACTACACTAAGCATAAAAAGCACGATTCGGAGATTTTCAATACTAATCTCAAGTCACATCTTCTATATGATTCGGATATTTGACCTGTGCATCACCAAAAGCTTCTCGAACAGGCTGCTGAAGACTTCCATTTACAACTGCATTTGATGGCTCCACAGTGAGGAGCAGATGACTGATCAGAAAGAAACAGCCAAAAGAAATCTAGGCGAGGAACCAACCAACAACGTACTAGCCGATGAATAAGCCAAAAGAAATGGACATCCGTCAGATGCACACTGAGAAGACCACTGAATAATATCACACTATAAATCCTCCAGAGAGAGACGAGTCGAGCCTAGGTTCGAGGGTGATATGAAGGAGACCGTGTGAAAAGGAAGTGAGAGATAATCGGCAATCGTGAAGCCAGCTAAAAGGGACTATGGAGACCAGGACGAAGTGGAGATGAGCAGTTGAAGCCCTATATACCACCAGGAACCTAAGGGAATAATAATAACAATATTGATTCAGCATAGATTATTGAGCTCAGATAAGACTAACTCAGATTTTATCTTTTTTTAAGCACCAGTCATCCATAGCAGTATCAAGAAGCTCGTCAGACGCCAATTTCAAAACATAGTGACTGAATTATTTTAACTTTGAACTTTGCACGGAGTTGCAAAAGTTCGAGTTGCCACACTCTATGTAGCACACATGGCAAGAAAAAGGAGTACAGAGAAATTGAAAAAAGGGATAATAAACAGAAGTGGGAAAGGAAAAAGAACAATAATATGGAAAAAACAATAGTTTTATTGGATATGACAAATCAAAAAGAGTGAATGCATCTGCGCCATTGACAACAACAATCTTGAGCCACATCACGAATTGTCTCCAGTCTTCATTGGTTCTTACTATCCCGAGGACACCATGCAGTCAGCCAGTCTACACTTCCCTACGTGGCTTAGTCAAACTGAACATTAGAGATTTCATTGACTGATGAAGCCGTGTTTTCGTTTGACCACCACTAGCTCTTTTCCAACCTGATCCATCGTATATCAGTTAACATTGCCGGTGGAGGAAGGCGATGGATGACTAGGCATCCGTAACACATGCCCTAACCATATCAATCGATGTTACTTCACAACCTCGTCAGTGATTTCCCCTCCCCCCTTACCCAGCACTCAACCTCAATACTGCTCACCCTATTACACCGATTAACACGCGAGGTAAAACGCAGACACCTATGATCAAAGACAGGTAGTCGGGCTTTTCATGTCTTCCATTTTCAATGGTCATGTGTCGCTCACAAGGAGGACAAAGATAACTGCTGAGCAGTGCGTACGCCCTTTGGTCGACAGCCAGTCGGATATCAAGTCTGCTAAGTCAGAGATGGAGTAATTTGGCGCATGCTAAACGGGCCTTCTGTGTGTTGAGATTTCATCAGTTATCAAACCTTTGGGGCTGGTGCAACTCCCCAAATAATTGAAGTGGACAATAAGCTCTACCATTTCATTCCATATGTTTAAGTTAGGAGTCAATGTAGCCCAAGACATAGTTCAATGCTTCAAGGAATTACCCGAGGAATTTTATCAGTTGTTGGTGAACAGATTTATATGTTAGTTTGTTGGCTTTCGTGATACATTATTAATTATCCAGCACAACTAAAATGCTCATAATCAATATCAAAGCAACTACAGAAAATTTCAAAATCTCTGTAGCAATTCTCAAGTAACTTCTTATTCCTGTGCTTCACCAAAATAATTATAATGAATGTTGAATAATTGCATTCGTTGCATGTACACTCGCAGCTGAATATCGATTGTTGGCTCTTAATGACAGACAAACACGTGGCTTAGCTATCTGTCACGCACAATGCATGCAGTCAACAGTAATGACATTATACCATGACAAAGGAAACAATCATACATGGAATGTGTTTATGATACAATGAGTCATAATGGCTTATCTATTTCCTTTTTAATCAAGTATATATATATATATATATATATATATATATATATATATATATATATATATATATATGAATCACTGTACATTTGTTAATGCTGTGTGTTTGAGGCTGGTTGCATCAATCTATTGAATAGTCATTTGGATTCTGGTTGTCGTGATGATCACAAAGTCCCTACTGCAGTTGTTGTCGTTCTTGCCCGATGTTATGTATGGAAGTTATTTAATTCAAAAAACAAAAAAGAACAAAGCCGATAAGAAGAGAGAGAGAGACTGATTAGTCAAAACCTTGTTTACCAAATCACAGTAATCACTGGGACGACTCGAAAAAAAACAGATTGCAAATATTCACGGGATTCTCCTACTAAAGAAAAAAAGTGGGAGGAACAAGACACAAGAGGATAAGAAAAATTAATTAGTTTTCCCTTAAAGTTGTTGTAATGACTACTTTTATGGTGGTGGTGGTGTGATACAGGTAATGTGTGCCAACGGAATGTTATTCTCACATGTTCCCACAGTTCAATACTATATATATTTGAACATTCTATCTCATGTCGTTTGACGTAAACCGAAATCACACGCTCAGTGACAGGTTAACGAATATAAACTGTAGGTATATATGTGAACAGTGGTTTGATTAATGAGAAATTATACTATGGCTTCGGGGTCTGGCCTTTTGCTGTTACAATTTGACATGGTTACAATAGACTGGGTCGGAAATTCCATTCAGCAGAAAACAGTGTCTGACTCTGTGCCACATACAAACAATGAACAAACTAACATAGACCTGTTGTACCTCACCCTACCCCCCACCTACGTGACTGCACTAATTTAGCTTTTATCGAAAATTGCAAATAAGATCTGATCTTAAGACCATACAAGAGAATTCGTAGTTCTAACCACAAAGGGGAAAGTAACCCTAATTTTAGCTCCACACTTTAGTGATCCGTCTCTACAAGCATTTCACTCAATAAATTCGAATATCAAATCATGACTTTAAAAAATAAGGCAGAATTTTGTGTGTCGAAAAAAGAATACATAACAATCGGATGACCAGTTGGTAGCTATATAGCTCTGATGGTTGGATAGAGCGCGCAAGACTAGCAATTTTCAGGTCACTGGTATGTTGTATTCTGTTGCAATCCAGACTTCCATTTCACCACTAAATAAATAACCATGTATATTGCATAAATAATAAGTAGTTAATAGATTTGAAATATGCTAAATTGTCTAGACACATTTAACAGTGTTTAAAGAAAAGTCCACCAATGAATATAAAAGTATTCATTAATAATTGATTGAGACAAACTTTATTGATTCTTTCTTTTATTTTTTGAATCAGTATGAAGAACCCTGCTGAGTTTTATGTATGTACAAAGTATGCTAACTAGCGCAATAAAAGAACAATCTATAACCTGGTTAGTAGTAATATTTATAATCTTAAGACACACAGAGAGAGAAAGTGAAATTTCTGGATGAAAAACATTACTGATCTTTTACTATGGTATATAGTATCATATTATTACAGTACTCATATAACTGCCCTTTACCATGAGAGGAGGTCGGTTGTGAATAGATCCATAAAGTCAATAGTCAACAGCTTCATCAATAGTACCTAGCCTAACTGTTTAAGGGGACTAGTTAAACTGAAAGGGCGCTAGTCGTTTGGTACACTGTCGTGTCATGTTCAATTGTGGGTACACGATCCATAAGTTCCTTATTCATCGGGAAGCAGACTTCTATACAGAACTTGAATCTCGGCAGAAATCGAAAGAATACAGTTAGCGATGATAACACAAGACTGATTGACGACTTGCCAGTTCAGGGCTATCTCATGTAGGAATTATTTATTATTATTTTCTCCCTTCACGATCTGAGTAGAACATAGGGTTTCATGTTAGAGTTTTGAAGTTTTATCAGCGGTGATTTTAGTTTTACTGGGTAGGGTTGCTATAGCCTCTAACCCAACCTTCCATCTTTACCGGCATTACCAGCAACTTAGCGAAGTCTGGGTGTATAACGGCCGGGGATTAAGCCCCAGACGATATGTGGCTTGGTTGGCGAGCGTTCTACCACTGAACCACCACTGCCAAAGCACTTCACAGATAATACTGATTGACAAATATTCAGTTACCCATCCAAGTTTCCATCTTATTAATTTATAACTTACAACTATCACCTGTAGAGAAAGGCGAATTCGGCAAAGAAATATAGTGAATATAACTTCTCAATCTATAGCGATGAATAGAGTAAAACTTACTCGTCCATATCATGTTGAAAAGAGGCGATAATTAATCAGGAAAATTAAGACGACAACTAAGAACTATGCAATAATTGTTTCACTGTAAAATTACTTTGTTCAGATTTATCATGTGGTTGTATAACTGCATGAAGTGGAGCGTCGGTGGCACAGCGGCAGAATGATCGCCAACCACGTATGTGGTCCGGCCACTGATGCACTCCTTTACCTCGCAAAGCCAGTAATAAGACTGGTAAAGAGGGAAGGTTGGGCATGGGGCTAGCAACCCCATCCCCTAAAAATAAACACCACTGCTACTGAAACATCAAGCCTCTAGCTCGAAGCCCTATGTTCCACTGGGAATGTAAAGGAATTTTTGAAAAAATGAAGTGGACAGCTGATGAGCTGCATTTTCACACCATAAAAGATCTTATGAACTTCCCAGGGTCCAATGGTTTTACTGATGACCGTAACAGCCCATTAACACAACAATCATGCAATATATTTCGTCTATAAGATGCATTTGGAAGCCAAGTTGGTAGATACCACGGTTATTGAGGAATTAACTTAGTATTTTTAAAACTCTTTCCTTGTCATACGACGGTGCTGTGGAGATTTTACGTTTTATTGCAGTTGAATGCCTTATCACTCTGTTTTACTACTACTGTCTTAAAATGTGTCTGTAATTGACTAATTAAAAAAGCCCACATTTTTCCCTCCTGCTTTTCAGTTTTCGTGCACTGATCTAAATTCCTACCTAGTATTAGTGCATATTTATGTGTGAATTATTTTCCGAATTGAATTTTTCCATTGAACAGAACTTCTAATTTAGGCTTAAATTTCATCTTCAAATGCATATGAGGAGAGAAGTAGAAAAAATTTCCACAATTATTCTATCTTAAATTAACTAAAACAACCTTTTGCAATAACAATGCATACACTCTTCTAGTCGACTAACAATCGTACATAAAAGATGATACATTACTCACGTTGCGGCCCCCAAATGCACAATTCACCAGCATCATTTACTGAAGCTATCATTGTAGGCAATACAGGATTCCAGTGAACACAGGTGATTGGATCTCTATTCCCGGTTCCAGGAGTTGAATGTATAGGATGGCTGCCACTACCAACATGCCAAATATGTATCCTACCATCTAAATGTTGAAAGAAAAGCAATTGTAACTAAATGCTAGACAAAATAATACTTGGGAAAAAGGTGAGAAGATAAGAAAGTAAACACTAGAATCCTTCTTTCTTCTAACAATGTTATGGAGAAAAGCTTGAAAAAAGATCATACGAAGTAATTTTTGATGTAGGAATAAATAAACGCATAGAAGGAGACAAAAAAACTATAAAAAATAACATTAAAACGCTGATTTGAACAACAAAACCATAATAATAAATTATATATGATACATTTTTTCTAATTAAATTCTGATTTTCCCGTTGATTGACTGGAGTGAATTGTTCGGCCTCTGTTGGCATGTCAGCTCAGCTCTTGGAGTGGATGCTTCGACGACGTCTGAGGATTAAATTGAAGTAATTTGGTGGATGGTGACTAGCAATGGAGTCCGAGATGGGTATTTCGCCCTATTCGGAACTAGTCATGCTGGATGTACCTGCGTTCCCACCCCCCGCGGCCAGTGGGTGAGTGGTGGTGTTCCCACCGGGGGTTTTGAACACAGTACCCATCGTTTCAAACGCTACCCACTAGACCACTTGAACCACCTCTTGCGCATATATATATATATATATGGCCAGTTTGCCAATTGTTAATCCCACTACACCAACTAACGCAAGAGATAGAAAGCCAACATCTGTGGCCAAATACAGCTAGCCTCTTCGTTCAGCGGTCGCGTCTCTCAACTATAAGGAAGAATAGAGCACACTGACTGTTGCCACGTACACACGGTCTTTAGTCGATAACCGCCAGAGGTGCGTTGAGTTCGTAAATACTACATGAGGCTTTGGTATGCATGCTGCGATTCTGTCAGAAATTGGTTCGTTGGGACCGATGCAGCTTCCCAAATCAGCGAAGTGGTCAACAAGCTCAACCGTTTTCCTTCCTATCTTTGCACTAGATGCAGGTGCACACCATATTTTTAAAGCAGCCAAAATATAACATCTGATAGTAAATCACAGTGTGTTCCCCTAAAGACGTATTAGAAAATCACATAAGACCAACAACCTGAAAAAATTCAAACTGCAATTGACCACCTCCGTCCTATCTCTGTCTCTAATCAGTCATACTGAGACGAAAGTGCAGGAAGTTTTTTTTGCAGGAATAACTTTAGTATTTGTGAATACCAATTATGTTTGTCCCTTCGACTCCTCTTTTCTTTTTCTTTTATCTTAATCACCAACTTACCTTTTTTTCTCACTATTGTACATTATTCCGTTGCGAACGCAGTTGAGAATTGGGATTTTCGTTTACTGAATGCATTAGTGTTCAACTGGTAAGGTGTGAAAATAAAATGTGTCTAGTATGATCGAATTATATACGTGTGTACGTATGGTCTAATGATAATGAAGTAGTCACTTACTTTCACTTCCTGTGGCTACAAAATCTTCATTAGCTCCACCAAATGTAGAATATAGTCGAAAAGTATCCTGTTTATGACCAACAAAACGTTGCAGTATACCACAAGCTCCCAAATCCCATAAATGTAATCCCTTTTTATTAATTAAAAAAAGGAAATGGTAGGGAATATTATTACATATAACTGATATATATATATATATATATATATATATTCAAGCTGGAAGTTCAATGTTTTTAAGAGCAAAGCAAGAGAAACTGTACCAAAACTGGATAACACTTTCAGTGCAACTTTAAATGCTTTAATGGTGACAACAACTAATGAAGTGGAACTTGACAGATATAAAGTAAACCAACATTGAACAATGTTGTGAACACATAGTGGATACACACAGACACACATACCTGTCTGTCTAATTTCGACATAGAACTCTGTACCGATGTGCAGCAGTTCAAGTTACCACAATCCATGTAGCACACAAAGCAAGAGAAGAAATGCATATAAGAGACAGTAAACAGAGGTGTGAAACAAAGGAATAGTAATAACGAAGAACAAAACAGTTTCATTGGAAATTATAAGTCACAAAGAGAGGATGCATCTGAGCCAGCCATTGAGAACCATTTTGAGCCATATCACCAATTGTTTCCAACCATTGGTTTTCACCGTCCGAGGACCCCACCCAGGAAGTCTACACCTCCCTACGTGAATGGCTGGTTTAAACTTACTGTTGTGGTTCTCATTGACTGGTGCCATGTTTTGGTTTGACCACCACTAGTTAACTTCTTTCCAACCTGACCCTATGCCAGATAACATTTCCTGTCGGTCGAGGAAGGCGATGACTAGGCATACGTAACACATGTCCTGACCATCTCTCTCGGTAGATGTAATTTCACAGCCTCGTCGATTGATTTTCCCTCCTTACTAGCACTCGACCGAAGCCTAACCACAATATTACTCACCTTATTATACCACTTCACACGAGAGATAGAACGCAGGCACCTATGATCAAAAACATGTCTTCCACTCTCAATGGTCAGACACACATGTACCTCATTATAAATAAAGTGGTTCGGTCACATAATGATAACGAGTAGCCACGCTTGTTTTTCTTTTAACACTACTACTCTTTATAAATACTGAATAATAATTGTCAGTATTGATCATAATTCTTGTTTCAATAAAGGACACACAATTTTCTGCGCGAAATGCTTCTCTGAAGTACATGCTAAACCGCCACATTGTTAGAAAGCTAAGTGATGTTTTGTACTGCAAGAATGTCTTGTTGTTGTAACTATAATGTAAAATTTTCAACGAACTAAACAGAATTTTATTTGTTACAGTGTTATAAATTAAGAATTCTGATGAAATCACAGTTAATTGTGAATTTACTGAAGATCACACATAACAAGATGTCTTTACTGACTCAACTTAACTATCGAGATTAGACTTTTCCTAAACTCTGAATACAAAAAAGGTGTTTCTTCCCGTCATTGGATTAACAATTAACCTGATTTGTTGAAACATTCTGTCGCTTTTCCATGGACTACAACTCTGCTCTTAGTGTGACACTGATTTGATCAACTTTCAATGTTAGCTGAACTCTATTAAATCCTATTAATTATTTGTTCTCACTCTGTTATAACAGAGTGTTACTGTTTTTGCTGTCTAACTTGACTAAAATCTGACTCCAAAAACGACACTATGGCCAACAATTAGTCGCTTGAAAATATTACCCCAAGCAAAGGTAGACACAGAAGTCAGAGATAATTGAGGCAACCACAACCTTTATTATTCACAATACAGTATATATATATATATATATATATATATATATGGTTTACACAACAATGGAAATTTCTAACTATATATGGATAATCGATTTCTCAATGATCGCATGACCTTGAAGATCCTCCGGAATAAATCAACCAATAGTTGTTTAGTCAGATTATTATATTTGCGCATGCATCAATCATAACTTCGCGGCTAACAAAGATAGTTATTCCATCCTAACACACTCAACTTACTTTGTTTTAATTTCTCCCTGATTAGCGGACAAGAGTAAGGAATTATTACCACAGTCAAATGACCTTGAAGCAGCCTATCAGATTGCTCGGCATTACAAATGATTGTTCTTCGAAATTTAAATTACAAGTCTCACCCAGATTAAGGTTAGGATAGGCTTAGGGTGGAATTATGGTTAAAGTTAGGGGGTGAAACTTGCATCGATGAGTATGGACAGCATCCGTTTGAAATGCTGAGCAATGTGACTATCACCATCATTAGGTTATACTCATCATAAAGTCAGTCATTCAACAGAACTAGTAGATCCTAGAACTGCTACTCACAGATGCCGGTTTATTTTATTACAGTCACTCTTATGGAAAACTGAGACTACTTTGTACAGCACATTAGAGATATACACGATTCATTTCTGATGCATATATATATATATATAGTAAACATACTTTTTTAATGTTACAAATGCCACTTTTCAACCAGAAGCATATGATTGGCCGGCTCAAGGTCATTTGACTGTAGTATCTATTCTCTACTATTGCTGACTGGCATTTCTATATTGGGTAACAACTTGAAGACATATACTTGGAAAGATTCCTTCTGTTTCTACAAGAATACGCTATACATATGTGCGATTTTACTCAGTTTGATGATGTTGAAAAAGACTAGCCCCTCACATTCAGTATGAATAACAGGGATTTTTAAGCTGTTCAACTAGACTTTTCGTTTAAGAGATTATGAATCATACTTAGTGTACAAGGAAGGAGGCTGATGATGCATATACTATACAAATGAGACAGGATTCGCTTATTGAGCAGTATCAAGTGGGCTACCCACCGGTATCGCCGTCGCTTTGTCATAATCAGCATGACTTCCCGAAATATCATTTTTCTTTTCATAATTAAATTTTTATAATTTACATTAGATTTTGTTTTTGTTTTTTTCCTTGGAAATGTACTTATTATGTGTATGCGTATATGATTTAAATTTTTATCAGAATATTGGTCTTGATTGAAACAAAGAATTGTCTCTTTTTTCTTTAGAAAAAGGAATTACTTCTGCAATGTATTGATTACACAACAAGTTAGAAGATAGACAGAGAGAAAGAGAGAGAGAGAGAAAGAAAACTTCCACCTTACACACAGTAAACTGAACAACAGTTTATAACATAATATCAACACAAAGCACAAGATTGATATGATGATAATCATCTTATGTACGCGTAGATTACCGAAAAATTCACAAAGTCGATAAATCTTCGTACAGTGGATACATGTAAATGCATGCTGTACAGAATACTAGTTGTTATACGTCTTAGAATAATCCAACATTTGCACACCAGCTATAACACTAGAATCCCTAGAAAATCTTCTGTTATTATCAGCTTCGACAATATTAAAGATTTAAACAATGAAACTGAAAATAAAATGCGTCAGCCTGGAGTCCATTATTTTCAGTTATATCACAGACAACCCGCTAGTACACATACATTTACTTAGGATGAGGGACTGGTTTCAACATTGAACTTTACACAGAAGTGCACCACTTCAAATTACCACACACCATTTACAACACATAGGAAGACAAAAGAGAAATAGGCGATTCGGAAGAATGAGAATAACCAGTAATGTTAGAGAAAAAGAATAGCACCACGGAAGAACAACGAGGCTTTATTAGAAATGATAAATCACAAACAGTGTATGCATCTTCGCCATTGACAACGATGATTTTGAGCCATACCACCAATGTCTCCAGCCTTCATTGCTTCTTACTATCCCGAGGACATCAACCAGTCAGGTGGTCTAAACTTCCCTACGCGACTAAAGATTTCATTAGCTGATGAAGCCACGTTTTCATATGACCACCACTAGCTGTTTCCCAGCCCAATCATATGTCAGCTATCATTGACATTGTCGAGGAAGACGATAGCTAAGCACACATGTAAGTAACACATGTCTTACCCATCTCAATCAATATAGGTTCGCAACCTCATCGGTTGATTTCCCCTCTTTCCTTACATAACACTCGATGCCTAACCTCAATATTAATACTCACCCTATTATAATACCACCTAGCATGAGAGATAGAAGTGCGTCGGCGGCACATTGGTTAGGACGCTCGCCGTCCATGCACATGGTCCGGAGTTCGATCCCTGACCGACGTACTCCTTTACGTCACTGAACCAAAAGTAATGCTGGTAAAGAGGAAAGGTCGGGCATGGGGATAGCAACCCAATCCTGTAAAAATAAACACTGTTCAAAAAACTTCAAGTCACTAGCTTGAAGCCCTATGTTCCCCTGGGAACGTGAAGGAAAAAAATGTTCCGGGCTTATCGGTACTAGTCAACAAAGCTTCACTGAAAAATTGAAAAGAAACTGATATCACTTCTTAGATTTGCACCTGAGTCACCTCCAGTATTCCAGTCAGTCACAGAGGTCATCACTGAGCTCCCTAGTTATTAAACACAAGCCAGGAGGCTAACTTCTCGTCCCAGTGAACTCAGTTGAGCAACTTCGACAGGTCTGCTATTGTAAACAAAGAATTAAACATGTGTGTAAGTGGAACTCATACAATATATGTAAATCATGTGATGATAATATCCTAAAAAGCAATTCTAGGCATATAAGCATCAGCTGATAGACAAATATAGTCATTTATTAATCATTAATACTCCCATACGGTGGCATGTATGAAATATCCTCGAGAAACAGAAGGGGCATATATATATATATATATATATATATATATATATATTGAATTTAATTTATCCTGAACACATGAAGCATATAACACCCTTGATTTCATCATTTCTAAGGATGTAATTTAAAGTTGTTTTTATATGGAAAGCATGCTTGTATGTTCGCAAGGACGTTTATTATCTGAATTGGATGTTATTTAGCTATTATTTTTTCAAGAGTTTATTTGTAGGGAATTAATTTGTTCCAAGTTTGATTACACACTGATAGCAGTTAGAACACCATTGAAAATCACTGAGGAGCGCTGGACAGTCGTTTCGTCCCAGCTTGGGACTCATCGGCGCCACACGGTCACTGTGACTCGAAACTGGGAAATTCGGGCTACAAGGTGAGCCTATAGACCAATGGAATCCTACTCAATAGCCAGCCAATGAATTCTAGCTTCTACCTACTCGTGATTTTAGTGCAACTGGTACTAGACAATGTCATCAGGGCGTCCTAACTCCCAACCCGGTAGTCCCCACCAATCACGACTTATCAATAGAACTCCAGACAACTTCGTCCTGCAGCCTGGTACTAGAGAGCATCAGATTCATTTTCAAGAGTTTGTTTTTAGGGATTTAATTTGCTTCAAGTTATTATTATTATTCCCATCGCTATCATGAATTTGGATATTTTCGATGATAATTGCGAATCGACAGGTAACATACAAACTTTTAAAGGAAAACTGTATGTACGTCTTGTCGGTTCGCTTTGTCCGACTTTATCGACTGATGTATTCAGTCACCGAAGGAGGAAGATACAAGAAAAGATTAGGGGGTTTTGACTAAAGATGCTTTTGTTCAATCTTTCGTTTCACAATGTGAGGCTTAGTTAGTAACAATGATTTCAGGGAAGAGCGATAGATAAAGAGAGAAAGTCATTCGATAAGCTTTCTGTAAGGCCGGACTAACTATCTTTGTTAGCCATGAAGTCAAGAGTGATGCGTGTGGCAACATAATAACCTGATTGGACAATTTTCGGTTGATTTATGTTGGAGGACCTTCAAGGTCATGCAATCGGTCAAAATTGACTATCTGCTTATAGTTTAAAATTCCCGCTGTTGTGTACCGATATATATATATATATCTTGTATTGTGAAGAATAAGGGGTTGTTGTTGTCTCGATTAAATCTGCTTTTTGTTTCTATCTTAGCGTGGGGTAATATCTCCAAGTCGTCAGCTGGCCACAGAGTGTCGTGTCTTCAGACACACTGTAGTCAAAATAGACAACAACAGTTTCAAGACAACATTTGTCGAGATGATCACAGTGAGATAGAACTAGGTTGGATCGGACGAATTACATGGCACGATAAATATATGTAGCCCTTTATATACACATGTACATGGACCAAGAAAATGCAGTCACTTTTCAGTTGTTTCGGAAGATAATGAAAAAGCTCTGAAATTATAAACCATCCGGTTCAGAGAACAACACCGAAAAAAATCCGCCTAAGCTAAATATCGTTTCCATATTTTTCTTTTAAAAATCGATATTTAGAAAAGCGAAGCGAAGTAACTAAAACTCTATTACAACACTGTAATACACCCAATAGCCTTGTCACACATAAAACCACTGGTCTAGCAAAAAGATACACTGATAATTTAATAGTGGAAACCAATTAAACAGAGTTGTCACTGCATACTACGCATCACCTGTTGTATCAGCAAACATAGATTTCTCATAATTTATTCTAAAACCCTTCTCATCTTTATTGATTGTCTCTTATGTGGAATATTCCACGTGTTACTGAGCTTTAGAAAGAAAATAATAACTGATCCCTTTTTGAGATTGTAAAACTAGCCAACATTTGCCAATGTGTGATCATTGCTAAAATGAAAATTTATGCATGAAAATAAGCAGCGACAGTACCATGATCATTTCCTGAATCTGTGATCAAAGTTCTACGCTGAAAGCTCAGTGTCAGTCAACCATTATTACTAAGCGGGTTTAGAGCTCTCTCTTTTTATCTCCAACTCAATGTCTATCTGTAATGGTTTAGCACCTAGCGCCATTAATATGCATACTACGTAACTTCGTTGTTATTGGGTAATATGGCTAAATACTTCTTCATCGGGTAAGTAATATTGAGGTTAGGCGTCGAGTGTTATGTAAGGAAAGAGGGGAAATCAACCGATGAGGTTGCGGACCTATATTGATTGAAATGGGTAAGACATGTGTTACTACATGTGTGCTTAGCTATCGTCTTCCTCGACAATGTCAATGATAGCTGACATATGATTGGGCTGGGAAACAGCTAGTGGTGGTCATATGAAAACGTGGCTTCATCAGCTAATGAAATCTTTAGTCGCGTAGGGAAGTTTAGACCACCTGACTGGTTGATGTCCTCGGGATAGTAAGAAGCAATGAAGGCTGGAGACATTGGTGGTATGGCTCAAAATCATCGTTGTCAATGGCGAAGATGCATACACTGTTTGTGATTTATCATTTCTAATAAAGCCTCGTTGTTCTTCCGTGGTGCTATTCTTTTTCCCTAACATTACTGGTTATTCTCATTCTTCCGAATCGCTTATTTCTCTTTTGTCTTCCTATGTGTTGTAAATGGTGTGTGGTAATTTGAAGTGGTGCACTTCTGTGTAAAGTTCAATGTTGAAACCAGTTAGTCAGTCATTGGTAAACATTGAAACTGTATGTATAAGTTGTTTTGTGTTTTATTTACAATTTAGAAGACAGGTGAGTATTTACCAAGATGTCTCTCGCTATAATACAGAATACTACGCGGAAAACAAAATTATTTACCATTTTATGTATTGTAAGGAGTGCCATAGTTCCTGAGCGTGAAATCATAATTGATTGAACGGGATGAGTTTCTTTAAATAATGTTCTATGATCCAATAAACCATAATTACTTGCATTAGTAGTTTGACCGCTACTATGTGCACTTGTTGTTGTACTTGTAGTTGATGTAGAAAAACCAGTTGCTGGTGTGGAAGCTGAGATTGTAGTTAAATTAGATGCAGAGCCTGTAGTAACACCAGATGTTGAAGTAGATGTACTTACAGTAGAACCAACATTTGTAGTAGAAACAGATGAACGACTCGTAGTCGTATCTTGAGGTGTAGATGTAGACACAGCCAACATTGTTGTACCACTGGAAACTGAATTAACTTGACGAGTATTATGACTGGCTAAGGCAACAGCTGCAGCAGCTAATGCACGTACACCAGTAGGCGTACTTGTAGTTGAACCAGAAACACCAACTGGAGTAGCTGTATAGGAAGCTGAAGTTCTATCTAAGGGAGCACCAAAAAGAATAGTTAAACTACTACCAGTAGTGCATAGATTAGTTCCACCAGCTGATGATACAACAGTGTATGGATTTGAACCGTGTAAAGAACTAGCTGGATGTAATACAGGCTGAAGACCTAGTTGAGCTTGTATACCTTGAGTTGAAGGTGGTCCAAGACGAGTCAAACTAACCGGTAAAATAGGCATATCGAGAAGAATTCCAGCTGGAAAAAAGTTTAACACAGAGTTAAACATGTATAATAATAACAACCGTAAAATTAATGAGTAATGCAGATGAGAACACTAATTACAGCCATATGATTTACGATTTAATTATGACTGTTTACAAAAAATCATTAGGCTACAGAATTTTCGACTTGAAATAAAGAACCCCGTTTAGACCATTTATCTTTTTTAACTATTAAGCTTTGTTTTTAAATCTTCCATGCACTAACACGTACTTTAAACTAACTTTTAAAGTAGCAGAATTTGTCGAAGAAAATGAAGGGAGTACACGGTAAGAAATATCAGTTTAATCTAGCTACTTGAGGGCAAGGTTGAGGAATTACGCGGGACCGGGAGTTCTAACATATGGATGTTCATGTTGACCGGGTGTTCATGCCAGGCATATAGCCGCTGTAGATCGCCTGTCAGAAGGCGGTTTGTCCAGGTCGACTAAAGGGTGCAGGCAGACCCAGGGAGAAACCCAGCAGGCAAAAGTCCCACGTGGTGCGGTAGCGGATGGCGCTTGTGTGACAGTCCGGTCGGCGCGTGAAGATCATCTCCCTTTTACAAGGAAATAAAAGTAAAAGTAGTAAAAAACACTTCGCATTCCTTATAGCATATAAACGTGTTGTTGAAAACGCTGATATTATTATCCTTATGAAAATCCAAAAGTCCGAATCTTGTAGGGGATAGTACATCCTTCAAGTCTGCAAAGACGCTTCGCTAACCAGTGCAAATAAGAATTCTAAGTCCGGGACATTCTACTAATTGCCGACATCCATCTAGAATTAAACCTAAGGTTTGTTAACTGACAGTCTTTTGAACAACAAAAATGAACTGCAAATCTTAAAAATGAAACTCAGCTGACTGTTGTATTTTAATAATATTTAGATATAGGCTAGAGTCAATATGAAATAGCTTGACGTTGTAGAGTTATCAAATTGTAGTAGTGAAATTGTGATTCATTCGAATTTGCACCATTTTTTGTGAGAAAACACAGAGGCTGAGGTTCATGCGCTACTCCACGTATCACGGTATAAACTTTCACACGTCTAGTGTAGCTGACAGCCATACTAATAAAAACATCTGTATATTAGGTAGCTGAGTTGCACTCACATTTATTATTAGGCTGAAGTATAAAGTAGAGTGGGCTACTACTCACACCATAAGTACATAAATAAGATTATTGTAAAACTTATTCTTCTAAAATTATTTGTAAGACATTCCTTTTTTATCTGTTATTATTTTATTCCTTTGCGTTCTAAATGCAGCATAGGTCTTCAAGCTTCAGCTTCCAAGTTCCAGTAGCAGAGGTTTTGTTTTGCGGGATGGAGTTGCTAGACTCACTTCCGACCTTCTCTCTTTGCCAGATTTACTACCAGTTAAGGAGTGCGTCAGGCGGGGATCGAACCCAGGACCACTTACTTGGTTGGCCAGTAAGACATTTTAACATACATAAAATTAAAACGTATTTGCTTACGTGGTAGTGTAGACGTTCCCGATGTATACGCAATACTTGTTGGTCCTGGATATGTCCCTGGTTGTTGATACCATGCTGATAAATTACCGGTTAATGATGATGCTGGACCTGCTGTTGTCATCGGATTTGATGATTGTAATAAACGTTGCTGTTGTTGTTGAGCTAATCGAGCAACAGCTAATGCTGTCGCTACACCAGAGTTACTGGCATTACTGCTTGCAGTCGCATTATTATCACTGGTGTCACAATCACCAGTCCTACTTCCACCAGTAGGATTAGTTGCACCGCTACTGGCTGATGTAGAAATACTAACTGAGCCTGGAGCACCGGGTGCACCACCACCTGAACTCAGATAAGCTGCAAGAGCAGATGTAGTTGTTGTCGCTAGGGTTGTACTTGATGCATTCTCTTCACTAGGTGTCTGTGTATAGGATGAACCGGACAAAGTGGAGATAGTCACAGTTGATATAGACGTAGTACTATTTTCATTCGGTGTGGTAACTGTAGTTAAAGGCATATCAACTGCATCTGCGGTGGTATTTGATCCAGACGCATTTGTTCCAACTGGGCCAAATCTAAACAATCGAATCCTATGAAGGCTATCAGCAATTAACAGTTGATCGATTTGGCATTCTTGACGACCATGCATTGCATCATTCATTGAACTATTTTGTTGTAATCCACTGGCTATTGAATCTGGAGCACCAGGCGTAGATCGATTTGGGGGGTTAACTTGTACAGATTCAGTGCCATTTGGAAGATGCGTATTTGGTATAGGTGGAAGTATAGCTGCCATACTCTGTACACGATAACCTTCAACTATAGTGAGTACACGACCTTGATCCTCGGTGTCCTTTTATTAGGCATACAAAAGATGAGATAAATAAAATGAATAAGCCTGCAAAAGAAAAATTAAAACCAAATGCATGAACGATAAATATTTTAAAACAGTCAACTATTGGTTGGCACATTGAAGCCTTCTTTGATGGCACTGTCTGTCTGTTTTCGACATAGAACTTTGCACAAATGTGCGGCAGTTCAAGTCGTCACACTCCGTGTAGCACGCGACACTGCAAAATAGGCAGTCTACTTGTATCTTTACTCATTCACTCGACTGTAATTAACTACTTAATTAAGAGAAAAACAGTAACCGGAAGGTCCTGTTGTGGAGTCCGAAAGTGGGATGAAACAGCTGTCCAGTACTCCTAGGTTTCCTAGTGGTTCGCTAACTGATGTCAACGTTTGATCAAACTTGTAAAAAAAAGTATACTGAAAATCTATGCATATCACGATAAAACTTACCATTACGTAGAAACTGCCTTTGAGACCGCCAAAAGCTAGTTTACGACTATCAGCAAAGAAAGAGGCAGTTGAATAGATGTCTTCATCATTTACCTTTTGATTGCACAGCTGTTGACCACTAAATACATCGAATACAAGTACAGAGCTTTGTTCTTCTCCACAACATGCTGCGATTCTAAATAGAACAAGACGAATGGAAAGTCATTTATGAGAATACTGACAGATATCAGATGTAAAATTGAGGGATTACAACTAAATGAAAATTAGATATTGCATAATATAAAATTCGATGTTTGGTTAAGGCAAGAACAAATTACACTGAAGTCATACTTATCTATGGCTCGAATATAGCCCAATCGGCTTGGACACGTGCACGAATGTCATCCCAGAGGCTTCTGTACCAACCTCTGTCCACCAGCCCTGGGACTGGATGGAAGAAGTAAAGAGGTGGCCAACCTGTGACGTAGTACCACGGGACAAACCACATTTGTACTACATTAGCATCAGTTGGCCCCTCTGGTTGCGGTTCGAAAGATAGTTCTCAAATCGATGGCTTGAAACGCTATCGGATATGGTCAAGAATCGAAATCAGTGGCTAATGTGCTGAAATTTCTTTCCATCTTCCCTTTCCATGAAGTAGCACAAGATGATGAATGTTGAATAATCTTGATAAACATGCTAGCCTGCTTTCTGGATGACTTTCTTCATTTATTCTGTCTTAATTTTATTTATTTGTTTTATTATTGTTGTGTGGAGCATCTCTTGGTGCCCACATTGTATCATTGTTTTAAACAAATAAAATACAACAAATATGCTGTCATTTCAAATTTAGAAATCTAATTGAACGGAACTGAATTTTCAACACAGAACCTGACAGAAAAGTGTAGCGGTTCAAGTAACCACCCTTTACACACAGAGGAGAAAATTAAAGGAACTATAATGAAGAGAAATGTATGGGAGAAAAAATCACATAGGAATTTGCATGAATCTAGGAGTATATACAGAGTAAATCCATCTGCGTCACTGAGGAAAATTTTGAGCCATGTCACCAACAGTTCCAAAGCCATTGGTGCTTAGTGCCTCGAGGACCCCATTAAGCTAGGCAGTTTGCACCTTCTCATGTAACTTAAACCAACAGTTAAAAACCACTTAGATTGATGTCAACTTTACTGTTGACCAGCCGACAACTCTTTTCTAACCCAATCCTATTTTGGCTAACATTGCTCGATGAAGAAAGCTATGGCTTTGTAAGCGTAAAACGTGTTCTACTCATCCAACTAGTTTTAATTTTTAAAAATGCACAACTGTCCATACAACTAATAGTAATGATAAATATTGAATGGTTTTGCAGTTATGCAAAATTTTGTGGACTTAGTGAAGTATGGAAATTAAACTAGACAGGCTGACACTAACTTTCTGTGGCTGGCCCGTTGACTTCAGCGTTTTAATTGCTAGTGACATTATCTAGGTTTAGTCTGTAGGCAGTCAGTGATTTAGGTTATTATTTTATTAACTTAAACAATGGCTTAACATGCAGTGACGACAACCAAAACCTACACCTCAGAAATATTAGTGATTTTAAGATGAATATTGGCTACAAACCATAAAGAGACTGAATAAGAAACGTTTTCACATTTAACTGTTAATAATTCCTTAGACCAGTTGGAAGACGTATAGAGTTAGTGGTGATTAAAGTTTTACGACTTTCGGAGAGGGATCTGAGAGGCCACGCGTTATGGAGATTCAACCAATCATCCATATTTTTCTCCTATCATACATAACTTATTATGACTAGGGGATAGGGTGACTATTTATTTATTGGAAACATAAAACCTGGTACGTTATAGGCACTAAGATGTGCCACAGAATAATAATAATAAAACATGAAAAAATAGGTAGAAAATGAATAAGGACTTCATCCAGAAAGGAAGCAGCTTTATTTAACAAGACCAAACAACATTCGTCAATTATTGTCAGAAAGGGAAGAAACGAAGAAATTGCAGTAAGCTCACAATTGATTGCGACTCTTGGCCATATCCGATAACCTTTCAAGCCGCCAATTCGAGAAATATCTTTCGGAAAGCAACCAGAGGGTACAACTGATGCTAATGTAGTACAAATGTGGTTTGTCCCGCGGTACTACGTCACAGGTTGGCCACCTCTTTACTTCTTCCATCCAGTCCTAGGGCTGGCGGACAAAGATTGGTACGCAAGCCTCTGGGATGACACTGGTGGCACATGTTCAAGCCACCAAAGCCGGTGTTTTCAGATGTCGAACTCAATGAATGGTGATCTCCACTGTGTCCAAACATACGCTGAAGGACCTCCAAAAAGGTCTTCAGGAGGCAGATCTACTTATAGCGCCTCAACACTTGGAGGTCCTTTCGGGCTTCAGCTTTTAATTGGTTGGTCTGTATAGACTGAGGGTAGGAAGACACTGATCTTTCCCTAAAGAGCACTCATGTTGTTACAATCTCTGACAAGATTTCAGCCATCGCCTCTAGACGGCGGAAGGTTTGAGGCAAACGGTAATCTGAAAAGACGCCTGAAAAACTGGACAGAGGGATTTGAAAGGTAGTTCACCTTGATAAGTATCCGTGTACCCGTTCACGTTCTGTTGTTCCTCAAATAACACTTTATCATTGTGTGCTTTTATGAAATGAATTTATGTTATGATGGAATTATACCTTACCACAGTGCTCAAGTTCTATTCATATATACTTCTTTCCTTATTTTGTTGTTTCATCAGTTTGTTTGGCACATCACTGTAACTAGTTTTTAAATAAATACATATGATGATTGAGTTATACGGTGAGGTAAGATTTAGCCTTAAATTACCTAATGTAGTCAGTCAGTATGTGTAAAATTAAACATAGAAAGGTGAAAAGCAAACAGGATACTACACAAAATTGACAGATTAGTTAATAAGTTTACTTTTTAGAATCTGGTGACCAACATAAACAACCAATATATGCTGGTGTAGTCAGTACACGATAGAAGGATACTGCATGTCGTATCAGATCCACACGCCAAACATCAACATTTGCGTCCTTACCACCAGTGGCTAAATAATTACCATCTGGAGAAAATTGACAAAACCATAAATCCGAATCTCTTTCATGATCCAAAGTTTGAATACAAAAAGCAGGGAAATCTTGCCTATAAGCAAAACAGAGAAAGCAGTGAAAGTAACAGTGAATATTGACTGACTGAGTTTTCAACGTATAACTTGGCATAAAAATACACTAGTTCACATTGTAAGGAGAATTACATAGAGAATCATGAGCATTAAATGGATCTGGGAGATTACAATGAGTGAATGCATCTGCACTACTGTGAACAACTTGAGTCATATCACCAGCAGCCTCAAAGCCATTAGTTCTTAGTGGATCGAGGACCGAAGTCAGCCAAGCTATCAGCACCTCCCTACGTTTCCCAAACCAACAGCCACAGATTCCGTGAATTGATGCCAGGTTTTGATTTGACTACCCATGACTCTTTTCCAATCTAACCCTGTCAGCTAACATTACTCGACATGGAAGGTGGCCGTTCGGCGGGTATTACACATGTCCTAGGTATTCCAATCGATGCACCTTCACAACCTTATATATTGACCTGCCCTTTCTCCTTACCTAACAGTCGATGAATAAAATATTCCTCAACCTATTACACCACCTAACACGGGAGATGAATGCAGACACATAATCAAAGACAGTCATCCTTTTCATATTTTCTACTTTCATTGGCCATATCTCACAGCAAAGCATATAGGAGGACGGAACAAATTACTGAGCAGTACACATGTACTTTGACCGATAGCCAGCCGAGTATCACATACCCGCCAGATGACATAAGTTGGCATATCCTATACGAGCCTTTTGTATCCATGATGAAATTTCGTCAGAAATCAGTCCGTTAGAGGTCAAGACACTCTACCACTTTACTCCCTATCCTTATACTAGTTGGTGTAGGCTGGTCCCTGTAGAATCATGTTACATTTGGCAGGAAGGAATCACATGCTAAAAATGCTTATATTTTAGTTCAAGGTGTTCAGAAGACTTTGCATTTTGTCCACGTTTTCACCACTCACATATTGCAAATCCACGACACTGCACCCTAGTAACAAGTCAATCCTCAAGTCGCTGAAGTCGGTCAAGGTCCCTCAAATTAGTACACCCATTATGAATTTTTTTAAATGGAGACATTAGGCATACCTGGAGGAAAACGCTGGTTGTCATCACTTCAGACAACAACTCTCCTTACACTTACAAAGTTCCTGAGCACTGTTTATCAATTCTGGAGTCTCCTATCAACTGAAATCATGTCATCTTTGCGCGCAGGTGAAAATTCCTCTTTACATATACTCAATTAATCTTTTTAGGTTGTACACAATTGATGAGAAACCAGCGAAACAAACGATGCTACCATCTTGTTCTGAGCAAACCGCTGTTTTTCTTTATTCCGAATAATCTAGTTTGTCAAACTGTCTGTCTGTCTGTTTTCGACATAGAACTTTGCACAAATGTGCGGAAGTTCAAGTCGCCACATTCCGTGTAGCACGCGAAGCAAGAGAAGAAAGTACAAGAAAAGCATAATAGAAACAGTGAGGAGAGGTGTGAGACAAAGGAGAATAAAGAATAACAAAACAGTTTCATTGGAGATCATAAGTCACAGGGAGTGGATGCATCTGCGCCACTGAGAACGGTTTTGAGCCATGTCACCAATTGTTTCCAACCATAGATTTTTACCGTCCCGAGGACCCCAGCCTGGAAGTCTACATCTTCCTACGTGGCTTAGACCGACTGTTGTGGATTTCATTGACTGGTGAAGCCAAGTTTTTGTTTGACCGCCGCTAGCTTTTTTCCAGCCTGACCCTATATCCGCTAACATAGCTCGTCGAGGGAGGCGATGGCTTGGCATACGTAACACATGTCCTAACCATCTCAGTCTTTGTAGCTTCACGACTTCGTCGATTGATTTCCCCTGTTTACCTAGAACTCCACGCCTAACCTCAATGTTGCTCACCTTATTATGCCACTTTACACGGGAAATAGAGTGCAGGCACCTATGATCAAAGACAGCTAGTCTTTTCATGTCAAACACTTAGTAGTAGTTATGGAAGCAAGCAAATAAAACAGAATGGTGAGTTAATATTAGTCAGGGTGATAGACCTCAAGTATTTACTCAGATATACTGGTTAGTCAGTAGCGAGTAACCAATGTCATATGCCTGGCCTTTGGCATTGAATAGATTCTATCAGTCAAGTTTGCAATGCGGTCACACTAGGCTGGATGATTCACTGTCGCGATGAACTCTGAAGTAGTGTTAAGTGGTTCGAGGCAATCGACAGGAAACTCTTGATCTAGGTCTCATGTTTATCGACCCTAATCAGTAAGGTATATCGGTTACCTCAAAGGAACTGATATCCCCTCTCAAGGTTGCGGAAATGCCTTGCTGGCGTGCTGCAGTCAGCACGGAATCTAGGAACACCTATTCCTGCCGACTGTTTCTGAAACTCCAACATCAATTAGCTAAATACAGAATAGCACGAGATTTCATCTATTGCAATGGGATGCAGTGATCTATACTTACGCTACACGGCGGACGATGATGTGACAACTCTTGGTTCAAAGTTAGTTAAGCAGACAGAAAATAGTTGATATTTGTAGCAAATATTACATAAATATAAATAAATCCAATAAGCAATCATGCTGTAACGTGACTTGAGATTAATGGATTAAGGACGACAAAGTTTGATTTCGAGGCAGATGTGAATAAATGCCTATAGATTCTGTTCGCTTCACATAGAAAACATGCAACAAACTGCAGAATGAATAACAAATTAACACTTACATGCCACAGGAATGACGTTGTAATAATGATATGTTGTGTACATCCATTTGAACACCAAGAGGAGGATTATGAAATATGCATGCAGCTAATTGAGCACGAACAGATTCATTGACTAATTCCTCCAATCTCCCTGGTGGCAACATTGTTTGTGCTGGTATGAAAGCCTGTATACGATTGATTAACTGTAAACGACTACCAGCATCCACTCCAGCCCAACCACCTGCTTGTGCTTGTAACTCAACACTGGTTCTGCACATAAGGCAACTGAAAATTAAAAAAAAATAGATAGAAACAAGATTTTCACGAAGTAGCTAAATTTGTGAAATACGATGCAAAGCTAAAGAGGTGAAGCGTTTGGCCCAAAATGTTGTGTAGTGAGATAGGGAACAAAAAATAGATCAGTGCAAACAATGTTCTGGGAAATAAAGTGCATGAAACAAATGTTTTAATTACATATTTATTGACTGTTAAAGAGTTAATGCTTACTACTAGTGTGTAACACCACACTAGTTTATAGTTGCCTGTCAACAAAGCTCATTCAAAATAGGGCTCATTGTTACCCGATTACTTACAGAAATCGCTGTTTTACAAGTGGAAAAGAAACCGCTAAAATGCTGAGCTATTGTAAAATATTGCTACTGATGATCTATGGCATTAGTGAAATGTAATTCAAACTTCTACTTGTACACATAAAAACCAATGCGTACCTAGCCAAGTCAGAATCTGAAGAGAAAATGTATGGGGGATTTTTAACAGTAACTTGAAAATAACAGTAGTATCACTAGTAAAACAGAATAAGTACAAACAATCATATACACACATCAGTTTCTAGTTTGGCTTTAAGAATAAAAGTCATTTGACTTTAATATTTAGGCCTAAGATTGGCAGGTGGGTTACTTATAGTAACAGTTGATGAATGAGGATAAAAATAATTACCTGGAGTCATAGTAGGACCTCAACTCACAGTGTTAGTATTTTTAACACGGTGTTTCATCGACTAAACTACAAGACCACGTTTTTGACTAGCCCATCATTTCACCATCACAGTACGACGAAAACAGATATGAAGATCTTACAAGGATAGTTACCTAATTATTCATATGACAGCTGAGCGAAGCCCCTTATGACTGCCGTGAAATGACCTGGTTAGCAGTTGGATCTTACAACTCAGTCATTAGACTGTCGGTTTGGTATTCCAGAGCGCAGTAGTTCGAATACTGATACAACCCATTTCCACTTTACATGCAATCATCGCGCATTAACCATTTCTCCTAATATTTCTTAAAAATATTCTAACGGATCTGAGGGTAATAGTAAAGATTTGTTATCTCAGGTAAGTGCTTCGGTATAGAATGCGATTAAGTATTCAAGTGTACAGTAAATTTTGTGCTCACTATGCGCACATGACTTCAAGGAGCCTATATCATTTGTGACAACAATTGCTAATAGTTGAAAATATAGCAGTTGTTTCGGCTAGTGATGGTTTAGAAGATGAGAACATCTGTCATACAGTTTAGCTCACGCATACAGAACACACCTGAGTCATTTATAGTCAGTTAGAACTCAGCCGACACTAGACTATAAGATACATTTAGTATGTGAGGAATGATCACTGTACCTGATTGTCCAGGTTGAAGTGAGTGAAGCGATATTCGAACCTGGAACCCATAGGTTGAAAGTCGAGTGTTCCAGCCAATAAACCACATCTCCACAGTTAACCATCGTGAGACTTCAACCTTGATTCAGCTAAGAGCTATTAGATGTAAAAGGCTTTTCATGAACAGTATTATGAAATTCAGTTGTAAGTAACTGCATATGTTAGAAATACACGTCAAGTTGTCTGTTTCTGAATTACTGTTCACATGAGATACCGATAAACAGATAGTACAAAATATTAAAAAATAGTGAAAATTGCATTGTAAGCATATGCATATCACAGCCGAAAGTGTATTCGAGTGCACATACAGCATCTCTATATTTATCCACCTGTATTGAGATGATGGAACGTGAAAGGTTAGAGGGTAGACCTGCATAAATAGTTGGTGAGTAGCATCATTTATTGATTGAAATATACCTTACACACCAAGAATACTAAGAAAGGTACTATAAAAAAATGTAAGGACGATATGGAGGAAAAGGAAGAGACAGATGATGGACAGTAGAGGAAGCGTACGTATTCTTGTGAAGAAAATTCACGGCAGCGTTCTTTACCTCTTCTTTTCTTCGTAGTAGCTAAATATGCCACAAAGTAATCACTATGATTTTCGATTCTGAGCCACATCCGAAAAAAATGTTGGATTACGGAGCTGTTTTAAGTCATTAATTTAGCTTCACAAATATTTTTTTGATTTCAGCTTGATTCCACACCGTATTTTTTGGTACAGGTATGGAATTTTCAGCCTGTGATGTCGGTAGCCCAAATTTTGCAGGCCGGCCACAGATATCAAGTGTGCATCGGTAGGGGATCGAACCCCGGACCATGTGCATGATCGGCAAGAGTCCCAACCACTGCGCCACCGACGCCCAAAGCCAGCTCCTAGACCGGGAATCGAACCCGGGCCTTCCATGTGACAGGCGGAGATGCTCACCACTACCATTAGATAACAAATCCAAGTCTGTTTTCTTTGGTCTTATTTTGTAAGTTAGATTATATCATTGGACATAATCTATTTCGTAATATATCGACACGTTAACCAGTGGGTTATATAGACTTCTCGTAAGACTGATTTAGCTTAAATTAATACAACAGAAACTTAAATCAGCTTAAAGGTTATCAAAAGTAGAAACATTACTTAAAGTTGAAAAAAAATACTAAGTTGAGCAAAGTAGTGTAACAGAAAAATGTTCTCATCACCTAGCCAGTGTGTGAACTCGCTCTGTATTTCGTTGCATGGGTGTAATCCGATTGCGCAGCAGGGTAACAGCAGGCATTACTTCATTGGCTTCCAAATACTCCAAGAATTGTTGTTCCAGAATTAAAAACCGTACTTCTTCGACACTATTCACATCTCCTATCAACGGTGCAAGCTTATCTATCGTAGCTTCCGCCTGAAGAAATAATCACACAAATGATAAGATTTTTAGCTGACTTCGGTAAAAAGTTGATTAAAACAGTACAATTAAACAACCATTAAAAGTTTTATAGTGTAGGCTATCGGTCATGATCATTACAAAAAGACCAAACAGTTATGCTTTTCAGTTGGAGATGAAAAATGTAGATCCAGCGTGGAAATCTGAGACAGGTACATAGAGACGACAGGACTAAATCGAGATGAAACTGAACTTCCATGGTGTAGCTTAAGTATCGAGAATCAATAAACACAATTCAGGAGGATTATTACAGTTGGATAGAGAATACGTCAGGAAATCATAAGATCACTTTTGCTTATCTAGTTGGGCAAAGTCGATTACAAAGTGCAGGAATCCATGAATATCCTGAGAAAATGATAAAATGTATTTTGTATGTATCACCCCACTGAAATGTAAGATGTTGTAACAGCACTAATTTATGTTAGCTCCGAATTTAAAGCTAGGAAGAAAAAATGGCAGATGTTAATCACATCCACCACCCAAGTATCTGTACTCAACTTAGTGAAATGACTGGTGAAACAGAAAATTTTGGCCGCAAGTGCCTTTACAACATCGCGTGTATATTTTAGAACCAAAAAGTGAGTAATGCTGAGGTTAAAGATAGATTATTGTGTAAACAAGGTAAACTAGTCCATGAGGTTTCAAATCGTTACCGAATTAGACATACATTACGCAAGTGGAGTGTAACAGGTGCCCTAGCAATGTCGGTAGATGAAAATTCACCCCATGAACTAATTTACTTTCCTGACATGATAATGCATGTCTAACCTTAATACTTTTCTCTTGGTGGTCCCCCACTACACAGGGAGAATTATGAGAGCATCTGAAGTTAACAAATTGTAACCGTATGTTTTTTCACCTTTATTACTTGTATTTAATTGGTGGATGGTGACTAGCAGTGGAATCCAGTGCTAGTCACCATCCACCAATTAAATACTAACTAAATGCCCAGACATCGTCGAAGCATCTGCACAAGAAGCCGACATGTCAACCTGGGACCGAGCACTTCGGTCCAATCAATCGACGGGAAAATCAAAAATTCAATTCAATTTATTACTTGTAGATATCTATTTCCTTATTCTGTACATCATGACTTGAACGAATCTAAACCACTTTGTTTTAGATAAAGATAATTCGACCTCTGTTTATAACGCCATCAGGATCTCAGCTTAACCGTTTTATCTGCTTAGTCCAGAATGACTATATAAACCTGAAGTAAAATTAAGCAGGTAAGGCAGTACTAACCCTGAGACAAAGTTAAAGTCAAGGAACGACTGGCTACAAACCTTAATACCATTATATAGGCACACTAGGGAAAAGCGCAATTACAAATATATAGCCAGTGTAGAATAATATCTGTTTGTTGCGGAATTTGATGGAGGGCAAAGATTTGATCCACCAGGCTGCGTCCTGGTGTGAAACCTATCTCGTGCTTACGGTGATTGCCGGTGTTTATATGCCGGGTGGCTATAGAACTTAGACATTATGCCGTAAGGGGATTTCTTCAGTTCATCATAAACGATAATGATTTTATGTCAAAAATAGAACGAAGACCTTTCCTAATTTCCCGAATTGAGCCACCTGAAGAGATAATTCCTGATTGTCATCATATTGTGCTGATATTTTGCCGTTTTTGAAAAAGCATTACACATAAACGACCAATCACATCTAGATCAAATAACCATGTAGGTGAATTGTACGTTTCAACCATATATTCTGAGCTAACTAAGCGCTCGTTTTTGTCAAAATAGCGAATGCTTCTGATACTTTGAGAATTCGACAAGAACGGAATGAATATAGAATACTCCCACTTTTCATCATAATTTCAGTAGTAGTAAATCTGATATTGTTCGTAAAATGCTGTATAATCGAGGTTTGATCAAACACAGAAATGTTCACCACTCTTCAAATATGCATACTCTGTTATAAAGTGAATAAAAAGGAAGCGGTATGTATTAGATCTTGAGATCGTACTTATAGAGGGGATTCAGAGAACGTGAATATTCACATTCCGGTTGACAGTATCAGAAATATACGGTTTGAGGAGTATTAGAGGATTAAAATCAACCTAATTTACAGTCAGAGAGACTTCATCCGGACCTAATTTTCAAAAAGGAATATGACTAGAAGGGCTCAGAGACCATAATGAACACTACTTATTCAAGATAATACTTAAGATCACTAGGAATTCAGTGGGTTCTATTAGAGTTGCAAACGAGGATAAAACAGTTGTTGGGATACTTTTAGTCATCATTAGTCTTCTGGATGATTTCAGTTTGTGAGAAAACTCTTGGGCCTGATGTAATAATATCACCATATGCAGAGACTAATACATGTTCGCGACGCTACTTACACAGGGAGACTAGTGCTTTAAGTTAATATAAATTATTCTAAAAACCAAGATGTTACTATGGAAATAGTACTTAAAGATGCATGTGAACATGTCAGATGTACGTATGAGCCCTTCTTCACAGAGTAGAAGGCGGAATTCATGGTGTAAACTACTCAGAGACAAATCTAATTGCAGGATTCTCCGAAGAGACAAGTAAATAGCTCTTATACCTTTAACTCAAATATTGAATAGAAACTAAATGAAGGTAATCTGCAGGAAAAATAGACACCCCAAAAAGGATAAGCAGAGAAAGCCGGGTGATTTAGGTTTATAGCTAACAGTAACTGTTGGTTTATATTAGTTATCCATGATTCGTAACAGCTGTTTCAGTCTCAGGAAGGAATTTCCCATTTCCTTGAAAACTGTAGCTTAGTGATACATACTGATGCAACTGAAGTAATTTTGAGCTAGCTAATCTTGTTTGCTGCAACATATGTCGTCTTTGTTTTCTACCGCCTACCCATTAGGGCAGCAAGATAGACGTAATTACTAGAGGACCGTTAATTCAATCTCATAGAGTATGGTAGACGTCTAACGCCCAAACTTCCTGAAACATGTCCAGAAGAGTCAAAACCCGCTTTTAATCAATACAAATACACGTTAATGATCTACTTACATCGCACCATCGGCCTTCTAATATAGCATGACGAAGTTCTGTAGCGTCGCTGTGCTCTAAGGCTATTCCAGATTCTTTTGACAGTTGCATATATGTTCCACTAAAAAATAGATTTCACCCAACAAAATTTCATACTTGAAACCTTTATCACATAAATATTGGCCTATGAGGCGCAGCATTTCCTCATCGCGAGCTGATAGATTCCTTGATATTGGTATAGCCAGTGCATAGTTGTTTTTAATTGCATTAACTCCATTAAACTGACCGTAATAAACATCCCCATTTTGATGAAGCATAACTCTGATCTACAGTGGATGGCAAACAATCCCTACCAAAAATAATAAGATGAGAAATATATGAAGTCTATGTGATACAACAGCTGATCCGATATTCCTAGTCGGTTTAAACGCGCATACAATGTTCAATACTTAGTTCCGATTACTGCCAGTTCATTATCTAAACATCAGGACCCATTCATCTGACATCATGAGAAATTTTGAAAATATATTGGCTTTTCTGAATCCTTTTAAGCAAAATGTTTCTTTACACTGTTCAAAGTAGTGCCTTTAATTCTAGTTACTCGGAGCAACTATATTCATACACACTTTACTTTTTGTGTCCAAATTTTAAAAAATATCTGTTAGTTTACAAATAAATCCAGGCCGTAATTGGTGTCCATCCCAGAATTCATTCACACTATACTGTGACTTCGAAGTATATATATGGTTGATGACTCATACTATCGTTTCAAATGTACTGTTCTGATAGAGGGCCTATGTCCCCACTGGATTTTTCATCCTTCAAGTACATCATTATATTCACTTAATTATGCGTCTGCTATATTTCCACAAAAGAGAAGGTTGAGGTTCTGTGGAAATTACCTAGCGCTTCCTCCATAACTCGAATACGACGGATCGACCATAGCTTATTCATTTATTTTTTATTACAGCTTGATTCCACACTGTGTTTTTGGTACAAGTATGGAATTTTCATCGTGGATATCGGTAGCCCTAATTTCGCAGGCCGGTCATAGATATCAGGTGTGCGTCGGTGTGGGCTCGAACCCCGGACCACGGTCGGCGAGAGTCCTAATCACTGTGCCACCAACGCACTGTAATAGTAAGCACAGTTGCCCAGCCGTCATGTGCATCAGCATGTGGCTTTCCGGTAGCCCAAGCTTTATTATCTGCATACAGTGCCTTACTGTCGATAAGTTGCAGCACTGTCAGCACCGCTGCCGAAGTTGATGCAACCGTGGTCTGCGAAGTGGCAATCTTCGAAACAGATGTGCTCAAATTCTATTTCACAATTAGTGCTGTGTCTGCTGGTGGTGTTTCTCGGAGATACATAGGTGGTATTCGATTCAGAGGTCCTTCAACGTGGCCACTTCTCTGATAATTAGGTTTCCCTAGCCATATCCTACCAGTCTCATCTGAGTTAATGTGTTCCTGGATACCGACCTGGTTATTCGATTGTGTCGTGAGGTCTCTTTCAACTTTCTCTCTGCCCAGTCCGCTTTAGTTTATAGGTTGCCGTAAAAGTGTCTTTCGTCTTTGATGGTAACTGCTGCTTTTTTCTGCATCATTATAACTCTCCTCTATCAGCTTCTAGTTGTCCGTGGATTGCCATTCTTTTCACATCAAACATATATACAGGCTTGTTTCGAATTCCCTTCCATAGAGTCCCAGCGTTTTTCCGCACAGATTTCCACGAGAGCGTTGCTTAAGACCTCCAATGTTTTTATTAATGATAGTTGTGAAGGTGTCATTTGTGGAGTCTTCCTATAGTTTCTGAGAGTCGAACTAGAAATGTGAGGTATATTCGAGGATTTCCACTTGATTTTGAGGTTCCGGCTCAGTGGACATTGATTCGAGTGTACTTCGGCTCCTCTCCTCGATCTTGTGTCCTGTATCCTGTCTCCATATTCTTATGATTGCGATGGATTCTACCTGGATTCACTCGTGCCATCAGATGAAACCCATGTCACCTTGTGTGTTTCTAGTTACAGACGACGCCTCAGATCACCAAATCGGTGGCACAGTGGTTAGGACTCTCACTGACCATGCACATGGTCCGAGGTTCGATCCGCTGCCAACGCACACCTGATATCTAAGACCGGCCTGTAAAATTTGGTCCACCGATATCCATGCTGAAAATTCCATACTTGTACCAAAAATACAGTGTGGAATCAAGCTGTAATAAAAAAATAATAGTAAAAAATCATCAAAGGTGCTTAGGTCCGCAAACAGTCCTCTGTTATCATGCACCACAGCGAGTAAGCACTCCGCGACGGTAATGTTCTCTGTTTCTGTGTCGTATAGTCACAGTGTGGCTGGCATTCATATCCTGCCCCCTATTCTAACTTCACCTACCTCCGAAAGACGACTTGTCGGGCAGCTGGCTTCCTGAAGTCCTCCGTCGACCAGAGTTATCTGTTCTTGGATTTAGGATGCCTCCAAGTTCTAGTGGAGAATACATCTATTTTCTCTTCGCTTTGAATTTACATTCCCAGTGATGTTCTTTTTACCCGTCTAGGTATTATGTGACATTATGTCGTTGGAAGATTTTTAGATCAGAAATCATACGACTGCCGTCTGCTGCAGTCATTGCGACTGTTTCTGTCTACACTGAAGGTTTTATCCTTGCTTCTCATGGTGGCATTTGAACCATGGTAGTAAAGTTTTGAAGACTGAGCTACAGATTCGAGACAGATAAAGACGTTTAAAGACGTTTGGAAAATATAGGATGAGGAATATCCACGCGCTAACTGTTTCCATGCACAGGCTAGGCAAATACATACCCAGCATCAGCCCTCAGCTCATTCAGAATGCCCGAGCGACCGAAGGCTAGTGACTCAGTCTGGTGAGATTAGTTTGTGACTGACATTTTGGTTGGTAAGCCTTTAGTGAGATTTCCCCGTGCTTCATAGATGACTATGAAGTTAGTTTGCGAATATGCTTGGTTTTTAGAATCAGTCATATGCTCCATAGTAAAACTGTGGGAACACTCTTCTGTTTTGTGAGACCATGAACACCATCATCAAAAGATGCATGAAGCTGCAATTCATTGGAGAGCCACAAGCTATTTTTTCCTTTTATTGAGTGAAACCCAAGGTGAACCTCGACTCATGAGTTAGACCCCGAATCGTGAATACTCTTTATAACACTGATCTGAATTCGACATTGCTTCAGTTTGAGATGACCACTACGCAGACCTGTCAATTGTTTTACCCCTTTCAGTTTGCTGAAGTAATTTGGCTTTAATTTCTGAGTGACCACAGTTTATTCTCTATGAAGCTAGGAATGTGTTGATTGTGACCTGAAGGTTCAAAATTTTAATTAGCCTTAGTTAGAAATGCTTCTTTTTGTCCTATAAGAGACGTTTAATGTCTGTCGGAGCACATTGTCAATAAAGGTCGGGAGGTCTTTGATGATCCTTAACTATTCTGAAATGCTAGACAGTTTGAATCATTTTGATCATGGAAATCCACCTATCACGTAACATCTATCAATCTCAAGTAGTAATAATGTATATTTTCAGTTTAACACACATATCGCATTATTACTTGTAATGAGCTTCAGTGTGATGTCAGGAAAAATGGATTTTCCTCACATGAATTTCTTAGCCGGTGTGACTGTATAACGCTTTGAATAATTGATTTCAGTGTTAGATGCTTAGCAATGAAACTGACGTGTGCCAATACCTTCAAATGGTGCTAGCACGGCATAAGGTGGTTTTATGTTTCAAATTACGCCTTGTCGTATGTAGCCAGTTTATTCCGCGAGAACGAACATAGGATACTACTGTGCCATTTGTTCCTTGTTTCTCTTCTGTGGGCAACGAGCGGTCTGCTATGTAAACAAATCGTAGCTTAAGAAAATACAGTGTGAGAAGTATACTTTGAGTTACTCAGTTGCACTCAATTGTAATGTAAGTTCATTATTATCTCACTTAAAGACATTATTCTCTTCTGCAGAAATGCAATTTAATATGTGGACACTAATTCTCTTACACAGCCTGTTATGTTGTGTAATAATGAAGAACAACGTGTCTCCTACACATTGCAAAAAACTCAGAAAGGTATCATTTCAGTCTCTGCTTTTCAGAAATCTTTGTAGTCTCATTTGGCACATATGACTTCCGAATATTTTAGGACTTTATGAGCCCTGTAACAGAGGTGTAGGATTTACGTAGCATGCTGGTAATATCTCAAAATCAAAAATCTCGGTAGAATTACTACGCGGCGGACTACAGAGCTGGTTTAACTGGACTTAAGAACTGTTCGTTGAGGAAGATGGGCAAATCTATAACCCTGAACAAACAAGTGTGCTGGCTAAATTCGCTTGTTAGAAATTTAGGTGGAAACAGGTGTACCATAAAATGGTCAGCAGAAGTCAGGAAGTGGTGGCTTTTACACTGTAACCAGTAAAAGAAGGGGTATTTCAACGAACATTCTTCAGATATTCACATTTCAGTTTGATAAAAGTTTAGTGAGCGGAAGGCCTTATTTCTGGTTTTTAGCCTCTAGTGGTAAGCCCTAGCCTTATTCTTTACTGCGGTAGCAACTATAGTCTGGTAGGTATGGCATGGGACCACTGTCTAATAACAAATCAGACGACACACAAGAGAATCAATGACAAGGAATGTGAATTGTTCCCAATAAAGTATTATTTGACTAGAATGGGCCTCCGGAACACAGCGCTACATCGAAATGATCATTTGGGTTTCCCTTCCACAGTGAGAAAGACGCAAATGCCAGACATGAAAAACGACAGTTGGAACAGCTGTAACAACCTATATTAGACAAAACACAACGTATATTATACCTTCAAATCCTCAAATATTTGAGTCTAGGGTAGACTATATTTGACTGGTTGTCTGATAGCAGAACATCAGTCCGTAAATAAACGAGCTAAGACTGTCCAGTAGGGTTATTTTGTTAGTACCTGACTTCATGGCTAACAGAGAAGCTTATTCATTCGAACGGTTGCACTCAGAATAAGATGATGTACCTGTTATCTGAACCACTTCAAGAATTATGTCAGCAGCTAGGAATTCCAAAGCGTCAGATGCGCGAGAAAGATGTAGATGGAATCCTTCTGAACGACTTGATAGTACTTTAAACGCACGTCTGGATGAGGTCTCATACGATGCTTCGTGCCCGAAAGTAATAATATGTCACAGAATCGAGCTGCCGACTGCTCGACGTTTTCATCTTGACAACCATGTTGGTAGGTTTTCATGTAAGTGCGTGGACAGCGTTCTTCTGGATTGCCTATGTGCTTAACATCACCAGAGTAAGTAAACCTTGAAGTGTAAACTGAATCTGATAACAGCGAGGTCTTCTTTGTGACCTCTTGGTGAACAAAAGCATGTGTCAATGTCCAGGTCTTACTACAGTGGACTTCACAAATGTGAATCACTGCAATCTGTAGGACAGCAAAATTCGTTTTCGACAACTGG